ATAATTCTATCGGTATTAGAATATGCGTAAACAATACGCACGAACAACAAGACTAGAGTTGCTTCATTTTAGAAATATAACCGAGTCTATGAATGAGAATCACTCGACACAAAATTTCTACTAGAATCGGGATCGGGACCGGGACCAGCAGAAAAATTTCACCTGGACCGGGACGGGACCGGGACCAGAAACTTTTCACCTGGATTATGCCGGGACCGGGACCGGGACCAGAAAAAAGTGATTTTGCAGTTCCCTAGGTCTCTGTCTTGTTCCTACCGAAAATTATTCGAAAAACTTATAAGTACATTAACTTCTGGCATCGATATTAGGACATAAAATTAATATCATGAATTGTATCTTCTTTTTTTTTTTGGTGAATATTTAGAAAGAGAAGATAATCTTCGCTTCGATTATTATGATGCACCAGCACAAACATCAGCATCAAGAACAACAACATTTAATAATTTCTATGATGAACAAGATAGAACAGATAATACTCAAGAAGAATATCGTAATCAATTGATTCGATTGCTTATGTACGATACAGTCTTAACCAGAATTATATCGTCATCGATTCTTCAATCATATACTAATGATTCTGTTCGAGTTCTTTGTGCAATCATTGAAAAAAATTTCCATGATAATCAAATACAATGTGAAAAAACAATCAATTTTGTTTCACGTTGGTTAACATTAATTGATGATGATAATGAAAAAGATTCATTTAATTCTTCATCAAATCGTGATATATGGCGACTAGCTCATATTTATACATTACTTGAATACGAACAAAATGATATTTTTTCATTATATTCTGCTTGTCGAATAACAGAAAATCTTGATCGAAATCAATCATTCTATAATGATCTTTTCGTAGATGAAGAAATAACACGTTCGAAAGTTCGTGAAAATTTATTTCGATTAATGTTTCATCATTTATGGACTAAACTTTGTGATTTATGTCAAACGAATGAAAATCCTAAACAATGGATACATAGTTATACATTAATTTCGAAATATTATCCATCAGAACGAGTTTTACAACGAATGGAATATGTTCATATGAAATTGAAAATTGAATTTATGAATTTAGTTTATTTAATTTTACTCAATGAAAAAACGCCACAACCTATAAAACTTATTCAACAATTACTAAATAATTCATCACTTATACAAGATGATATGGAGAATTATCATATTAATGTATATGGATCAAGTTGTCTACAATTATTAACTTATATTATTCAAACAATCGATCAATATTTTGAAAAGAGTAATTCTAATAATAGTACATTAATGATTGATATTCAACAATGGATCATTTCAACATTAAAAGGATCGAAGCGATCATCACATCAAGAAATAATTACTCTATTAAAATTTTTAAATCAACCAACATGTCATTTATCATTGCCAATGAAACAATTTCTTTTTGATGAATTAGTTAATATTTCAATTGAAAATAATCGACAAGATCGTATGAATAATCATCGACAATTTACTTCTTTCTGGGATCATCTTTGTCTGTTGTCACTGATAATAGAATGTATAACTAATGAAAATATAGAAAATTATCAAATACCCTATCATCCATCTATTATTACGAATGAAAATCAGAATTATATATTAATTGATCTATATTTTTTTCATCTTCGACGATTAGCAAATGATGAAACAATACGATTGAATTTAATTAATAAAATTCTTCTCTCAAGTTTACCAAAGATAAATGATGTACAACAAATTACTCTTGCACAAAAAATATTCCAACAATTAAAAGAATATTTTCTTTTACATTGTACAGCTTTATTATTATGTCAAATAGATTTAAATAATCAAGATCAACAAAGACTCAATCATATTCTTATGACAATTATTAATCAATATTTAACTATACCTCTACCCATACTTCAACTGAGTAACTATGTTGAACTTTTCTGTTCGATCATTATTACTAAACGATCATGGAATTTTCTTCTTAATCTATTAAAATCAGATCGTCTTCAACGTTTAAATTCTCAATGGGCTGATAATTTACATAATCTACTCAAATCAAAACATACTATTCAACGTAATAAATATCTACAGTATAGTCATCAATTACAATTTACATTAACCACTGATATTACTTCATCTATTTTTCCTACATTACATCAACCATATCATGAATTAACTCAATTGATTGATCAATGTGTAAAAAATAATAATATCGAACAACGTTGGATACCTTTAACGAATTGGATACAATCAAAATTATATTCTAATCCACCAATAGTCAATGCTATTGAAATAAAAGTAATGTTATTATTAAATATTTATTATGATTATTATTGTAATGCACAATTAAAATCTCTTGATCATCTATTAACAACTATCATTGAAAATATACTTCAACCAACAGACGAAGAACGACGAGTATTTCGTATTCTGTTAAAACCTGAACAAAATATGATTGGATATACAAGAGAAAATAATCATGTAGATAAAAATCATCTTAATGATTTATTCGAAATTGATTGTCAAGATGATGATGAATTACCTATTCGTCATATACTTGTTAACCTTTTGGCGATGATTTTACTTGGTGGAAAAGAAAATACTCTTTGGACATTTGTATTTGAACCATTGAAACTACTAGAAACATTTGGTGAGTTTTAATTAAACTATTTCCCTAAAAAATCGCATAAAATTTTCGGGATATATTTTAAGCTGTCATGGAAAGCCTACACCCTAGTGTAGGCTTTCGACACAGCTTATACCCCACATCAAACCTCATACTATCTTCTCATGTATTACACTCGATTTCAATTTTTCTGATGGAAATTGACTTTTTAGTGTACTCAAAAAGTGAGTACACTACTAAAATCGGTCTGTGTGTCCGTCCGGCCGGCCGGCCGTTTACACGATAACTTTCGAAAGGAGAGTCAGATTGCGATGGAATTTTCTACACAGCTTAGTCTTGACAATATCTCGGTCGAGTTCGAAGATGAGAAGGACCGATCGAGCCGTTCCTGAGTTATTGCAAAAATACCCATTTTTCCCTATAGCTTTCTGTGGAAAAATGGACCCATCGCGACTTTCGTAAAAGACTTTTCCTATCATAGTCAATTAAAACCCCAAC